TCACACAGATGGGAACGTCAGGTAATCTACCTTTTTAAGTTGTGGTTGTTCTATTTTTAGAACATGTATATATTACAATATGTTATATAACTCATGCAAAAGACGCGCTTTTTGAGCTTTTTATTATTTTATTAAAATGATATGAACATGAGTTGTTCTGTATTGAGATTATTATACGATGTTCATATCATATCAACATATTTATAAATTAAAATTCAGAATGAACATTGATATATATTATTATGATAGTCATAAATGTTTTATTATCACTCGTTATTCATTTCATTCGTATGTTCGATTCTTTATGCTTTTCTTTTCGGATAGTCTATCTTCTCATGTTTCTACTTTCGGTAGGTTCATATCAAGTAGGATACACCCGTTCCCATCTGAACACGGAAGTAAAGATGCTTAGAGCCTGTTTAGTACCATTATGTTCACACAGATGGGAACGTCAGGTAATCTACCTTTTTAAGTTGTGGTTGTTCTATTTTTAGAACATGTATATATTACAATATGTTATATAACTCATGCAAAAGACGCGCTTTTTGAGCTTTTTATTATTTTATTAAAATGATATGAACATGAGTTGTTCTGTATTGAGATTATTATACGATGTTCATATCATATCAACATATTTATAAATTAAAATTCAGAATGAACATTGATATATATTATTATGATAGTCATAAATGTTTTATTATCACTCGTTATTCATTTCATTCGTATGTTCGATTCTTTATGCTTTTCTTTTCGGATAGTCTATCTTCTCATGTTTCTACTTTCGGTAGGTTCATATCAAGTAGGATACACCCGTTCCCATCTGAACACGGAAGTAAAGATGCTTAGAGCCTGTTTAGTACCATTATGTTCACACAGATGGGAACGTCAGGTAATCTACCTTTTTAAGTTGTGGTTGTTCTATTTTTAGAACATGTATATATTACAATATGTTATATAACTCATGCAAAAGACGCGCTTTTTGAGCTTTTTATTATTTTATTAAAATGATATGAACATGAGTTGTTCTGTATTGAGATTATTATACGATGTTCATATCATATCAACATATTTATAAATTAAAATTCAGAATGAACATTGATATATATTATTATGATAGTCATAAATGTTTTATTATCACTCGTTATTCATTTCATTCGTATGTTCGATTCTTTATGCTTTTCTTTTCGGATAGTCTATCTTCTCATGTTTCTACTTTCGGTAGGTTCATATCAAGTAGGATACACCCGTTCCCATCTGAACAATTTTTTATATTTTTGATATTTAAACCTTTGTGAAAGAAAAATCCAAATCAAACAAACTTGACTCACTATGTTCGTCTTCGTTTGTTAACAATTCGTTTTTTTCTTTCACTGTTTAAATTTAACTAGTTTCTTTTTTATTTTTAATTATGTTTTTTTTTAATATTATTTAAGTTTATACTTAATAATTATTTGTATTACTAAAAAACTAATAATAGTTATTTGGAAATAAAGTTAAATTGATTAAAATTTAAATTGTTTATTTCATTGCTAAATAGGCAACTACCCCAAGTAAAACAACAACTGTTGCTCCTAACACGGCCACTTTCATATCAACTCCTTTGACTTCCTTTTTCTCTTCATTCTTTTGATTCTCTTTCTTCTTAAGCTCGTCGATTACTTTCTCTTTTCCGTCTGCATCTTGCTTTATTTTATCAAGTTGTTTCTTGATCAAATTACCCTCCTCAATCTTCTTGCCAAGCTGCTTCTTCATTTCTTCAATTTCTTTTTCGTTCTTTGTTTTCAGTGACTTATTCTCTTTTTTGACGGCATCACACTCCTCCTTTATCTTCTTGTTTTCAATTTCAACTTCTTCGATCTCCTTTACACTGTTCTGGACATTCTTAATTTGAGCTTTGAGATCTTCATTCTCTTTTGTTAATTGTTCCTCGTTGGATTGTGAATTACATTTTCCAGTCTTCTCAGATTGAAGAGCCTTCTCAAGCTCTTCAACTCTCTTCTTTTCCTCTTCAAGTTGTTTAATAACTTTTTCTTTCTCCGTTTTCAGTAATTCTCCGTCTCTCTTTGTTTTTTCAATTTCACTTTTCAATTTCTCAACATCATTTCTTGCACTTTCAACGTCAACAGTCATTTTCTTGTTTTGATTTTCCAAGTCGTTTCTTTGTTGCTCTTTTGATTTGTTCTCATTCTCCAAAGCTTCTTTTGCCTCATTGATTTCCTTCAAATGTACACCTTTTTCTTCATTCTCCATTTTAAGTTTTTCAATGGTTTCTTGTAAAGCTTTAACCTGAACCAAAACTTCACTTTTCTCTTCTTCAAGCTTTTGGGTGATCAATTTCATTGCATTCATTTCTTCCTGACTTTTTGTTTCTATTGTTTTGACTTGTTCTTCGGTTATCTCCTTTGCTTTGTTAGTTTGTTCTATTTTTTCCTTCTCAAGATTCTCTTTCTCTTGGGTGAGCTCTTGAACCTTTATCAAGATCTCCTCTTTTTCTTTTTCTGCCTGCTCTTTCTGAGCAATCAATTCATTGACTTTACCAAGTTGTTCAGTATTCTGTTTTTCCATCGCTTCTTTCATACCGGTGAGTTGTTTGATCTGTTCCAAATACTCTTCTTTCTCCTTTTGATTCTTTTCCTTCTCTTCTGTTAGCTCGTTGACCTTCTTCAAGTTCTCTTCATTTTGTTTTTCGAGACCTTCTTTCAACTCAGTCAACTCTTTAACGCGTGTTAACTGCTCTTCGCCACCCTTTTCGTTCTTTTCCTTCTCTTCAATCAGCTGATTGATTTTCAATGTTTGCTCAGCAATTTGTTTTTCAAGTGTTTCCTTACTCGCAGTCAACTGTTCAATGCTCTCCAAATGCTTTGCTGTTTCTTTCTCGACTTTTTCTTTTTCATCAACCGACTCCTTGATCTTTCCAGCTTGCTCGACAGTTTGTTGTTCCAAATCTTTCATTTTCTGAACATTCTCAGCACTGTCCTTTTTCAATTTTTCATTCTCAGCAACCAATTCATCTTTCGTGGTAGTAAGTCCTTCAACAGTTTTTAAAATTTCCACCTTTTCACCTTCCAATTTCCCAAACAATTCTCTTTGCTCTTCATTTTTCTTCTTTTCGCTCTCAAGTTCTCCTTTTGTCTTCTCAAGTTCCGTTTCCAACGTGCTTTTCTCTCCTTCTTTCTTTCCTTTCTCTTCTTCCATCTTTTTCACCATCTCTTCATTCTCTCGTTTCAATTTTGCACTTTCCTCCTTTTCCTTCTCCAAAAGTTCCTCAACACTCTTTTTGGCCGCCTTTTCTTCTTCTATTTTTTGGTTCACATCATTTCCTTCCTTTTGAAGTCTCTCGTTTTCTGTTTTCAGTTTTTCGAGACTTTCAATGCATTCTTTCTTCGCAGCGTCGTGACCTTCTCCGTCCTTCTTCAATTCTTCAATCTTCGTTTTGTTTTCTTCCAACTCCTTTTTAACCTTCTCCAACTCAACAAGAATACCTTCTTGTTTCCCTTCTAGCTCTGTTTTCGCTTTGTGGATATTTTCAAGTTCTATTTGAATGCCCTTTTCCTTCTCTTTCAGCTCTTCGTTCTCCTTCTTCACACTTTCGGCCTTTTCTTTCTCTTCCTTCACTTCGTTCTCAAGTCTCTTCACGCTCTCCTCAAGTGTCTGCTTTTCCGTCATAACAGCTTCTTTCTGTTTACCAACGTCTTCTTTTTCACTTTTCAGTGTCGCATTCTCACCTTCAAGTTTCGTTGCTTTTTCTTTGTTTTCAGCAATCTCTTTTTCTAATTCGGCAACCTTTTCAATGTGCGCCTTTTCAGAAGCTGAGACTTCTTCTTTCATTTTCTCCATCGCCGCCACCGCTGAAGTGCGTTCCCCTTCCGCCAAATCTCTCACTTTCGTGAGATTTTCCAGTTCTTCATTTTTATTTTTCAGTTCTGTTTGGACTTTCGCAAGTTCTTCCAAAACGGTTTTTCCTTCTTCGTTTGTTTTTTCCTTTTCTTTGATTTCGGTTTTCAACGTCTCATTCTCAGCTTTGAGTTTTTCAAGTTCTTCGGCAGTGATTTTGTTTTTCTCAATCGTTTCCTGAGCTTCTTTCAAGCGACTTTCGGTAGATTCTTTCGCACTTTTTTCGGTTTTGAGTTCCTCTTGAGTTTTGGCAAGTTCTCGTTCCGCGACTTCTCTCATTTCTTGAGTTTTCTTAATCTCATCTTTTTCTTTGGAAAGTTCGTCGGACACCTTTTTCAACTCTTCTTCGACCTTCTGTTTCTCGGCAACGTGTGCTTGAGACTCTTTATTGATTTGTTCAATCTTCTCTGCTGTAGTCTTCTCTGCATCTTTTGATACCTTTTCTGCGTTCTCCAGTTGTTCCTTGACGAGTTTCAACTCGTTTTCGGTGGTTTCATTTTTCTTTTTTTCGTTTTCAAGATCTTCTCTGATTTTCGTTTTTTCTTCGTTTGCGTTTTTCGCCTCTTTGACTTTTTCCGCCAGACTTTCGTTGAACTTTTTTAAATTTTCAAATTTTGAAGTTTCTTCCTTCAACTGATTTTTCAGTTCCTCGTTCTCTTTCTTCGATCCTTCCAATTGGTCGTTCAGTCCTTTCACATCGGACGTGTTCTTCTCTTCAAGTTGTTTCAACTTCAGTTGAAGTTCTTCAACTTCCGCAGTGCTTTTGTCTCCTTTTATCTCAGCCATTTTCTTTTGATTTTCAAGTTCCTCCATTCGCGTTTTATACTTTTCAATATTTTCGATTTGTTCCTTTTTGAGTTTTTCGAACTTGTCGGCGTTTTGGCCTTTCTGACGAATTTCTATTTTTAGATTTGCTTCACTCTTTTCAAGTTCCTTTTTGAGATCTGCCAGTTCGTCGGCTTTGTTTTGGATGTCTTGTTTCATTGCTTCGACATCTCCCGACAAGTTA